TCACCATGTTACCATTGCTGTACTATTTACCTTTTTTACTTGAATACAAGCTGTGAGTTTCAATGCTCATCTGGTCTACTTGGCTAGGATGACATTTATGCTACTTAGGAATGGTTGACATTTAGATCTTAGCAGTAACTGTTGGAACACATCCAGGTTAATCTTGGATAATTGGTTTAAATCCAATTCTTTTTGTTTTTCCCTTGGAGGAATGATAAGAAACTATTAACAGTGATTGCTTTTGGGTGAAAGAGACATGGCAGGAGAGGAGGCAGTCTCTAAGATGGCCCCCAAAGACCCCCACCTCCTAGTGTTCACCTCATTGTGCAATCCCCTCCTCTTCAGTGTAGACTGGACTTACTAGCTTGCCTCTAACGAACAGAATTCAGCAGAAGCGATGGATGTCACTTCCAAGATGAGGTTTTAGAAAGACTGTGACTTCCACCTTGAGTGGTTTTTTTTCTTGCCTTTTCTCTCACACGCTCACTCAGAGGGCCTCTGGTTTCCAAATTGTGAGCTGTCCTATGCAAGACCCCCGTGGCAAGGAACTGGGGGAGGCCTGCGGGAAACCACCTAAGAGCAACTCAGGCCCTCAATCCACTGCCTGTGATGGACTAAATTCTGCCAAAAACCAAATGAGCGAGCTTGAAAGAAGACTTTCCCTTTGTCAAGCGTTTAGATGAGACTGAAGCTCCAGTCAACAGCTTGACTGCAACCTCTGAGAGACCTCGTGCCAGAGACAACCAACTAAGCAGCAGCTAGACTTCTGACCCCGAGAACTGTGACATAATGAGTGCTTTGTTATATTAAGCTGCGAAATTTGGGGATAATTTATTGCACAGCAATAGATAACTAATAGACAGGGTAATCTGGCATATCTTAAATGTATGTGGTTGATGTCTCATGCCTCCCTAAAATGTATAAAACCAAGCTCCACCTCAACCACCATGGGCACACGTTCTCAGAATCTCCTGAGGGCTGTGTCACAGGCCATGGTTACTCATATTTGGCTCAGAATAAACCTCTTCAAATATTTTACAGAGTTTGACACTTTTCATCGACAAAGTAACACTCTGGCAAGTTTCCCCTGACATATTTTGCCCATCTGTTTATTTAAAATTTCGATTGCACTTGCTTTAGGAGTATCTCTTGACAACACTAATAATTATAGATAACTGTATCTCATATGGACCTGAACTCATTGGGTTTAATTTTGAGATTCAATACATGAGTAAATGCCATTTGTAGGTATTATTACTGGAGACAGTTTCACTCTCATTTTGTTTAAGTGTGCTTTCTTAGTTTGTCTCTTTGCTACATGGCCTGTATTTTTTTTTAGGTAATTTCACTCTTCTTCCTGTGGTAATTTGAAAATTATTAAGACTGATCTTCTTTCAATTTTAAGTAACATACTTAAAAGTGAACATTCCAAGTCATCTTCATTCAACCTCATAAAGCAAAACAAAATCTACTTACTTCTCCCTGTGGAAGATGAGGGCACCCCCTTAGACTTCCTTCTATAAGCTTCAAGATTGTGTCAGAACATATTAGGATTTTTATTTGTCTATTGTTGTTATTTTTAACATTATGTAGCTTTTCTATAAATAGGTATAATATCTACATTCTGTACTATGAACATTATTTTTCTATTTTTAAATAATTTACGGTTTACTCTCGGTCAGTGGTGGCCACCTAATTTTTTTTTTTTTTTTTTTTTTTTTTTTTTTTTTT